GATCATCCCAACATGACTTTTAATTTTAGAATTTAATGTTACACTGTAAAATGCAGGAACACAAAATGGTTACAAGATAGGTCAATTTGACCGGTCTTGTAGTGAGAGTTTGTAATAATCAAGACACGTTTTGACTCAACTTGTTTGTTTAAGGTAACTCAAATAATTGATTACAAGTTTTTTCATATCTTTTAACTTTGTTCTGTTTTTTTTTTTTCATTATTAGTTAAAGGACGACATTGTGAAACAACTCCAAGAAAATATAGTCAAGCTACTGAAGAAACTAGAAGATGGTTTGAAAGGCGAAGTGGACTGGCATGATTATTCTGTGTACACGGGTACCACAGGTAGGTGGAAATTGAAAGAACGTTGAAACAGGTACCTTGATTTACTACACATCCATTCTTAGGAGGCAGAAGTACTTTGAATCTGCAGGTACATCTTTCACATTTTTACTGATTTGTTGAAAAGAGATGCTGACTTAGATCGAGCTGGTAAGAGTTCTGGCAAATGCAGCCTGCTTTACATTTTCAGGCTCTACGTGCTGTTTTATCAACTTTGTTATATTTTTAATGTTATAGTTTTTATTTTTTTGAAAGGGGACACTTTGCTGTTTTGCAAAAAAAAGTGAGAGGTCACATGTCCCCAGTTCCACCACCTATATATTCAGGTTTGAGTATATGTTATGTGTGAGTTTAGGCTATCACGTTTTTTTACGAAGTTAATTTCTTCTAACTGCTGGCTCCTACTGTTTTGTTTTTCTGTGTAAGTTGGATACATAGGTAAGGTCATGATAATTAGTTTGATTATATTCTAAATGATGATGATTTAATGCTATAGCATTAATCTGTTACTAGCCTTACTTTTCAAATAATAGCATTTAATCCTTCTAGTATTAATCCATTTAAACGTTTCTAGATTAAATCAATTGTGTGTAATGAGGCACAACAAAAAATGATCAAAATTCCATATCGAAAGGCTAGACCATTATTTTTCTTGCATAATATGAACATGTATTTACTGTACTTTATTGGCATTTGTATCTGTGTGTTTGATCTGACAAAAGATGGGAAAATTATTATGTAAATATAGTTAATTTTTGATAAAAAAAAAATGTCTTCCAGTTTTTCCAATGTAGTGATACTGTGAATAAATTTTATGTCCATCATTTGAAATTAAAATATTTAAAGGAGGAGAAGTTTGGAATACATTTCAGAAATTAACTTTAATAAAATAATTGTACTTTTAATAGACACTGTATATTGGCTGTTGCTTATGTTTTGAAACTATTAAAATATTTATTGGACTAGTGCCAATAGGAAATATATAAACACTTTTATGTTGCAAAATTATTTGATCCTTCCTTTTGATTTAACATCATGACATTAATGATTGTATTATTCATTTAATGGATTAGTAGTTAGAGCTAGTAAACATGAATAACTGTCTTACGACTACCCATCGTGTATGATGTAGTAATATTCATCTTATGTGGATAAACATGAAGTTAAGAAAATTAGACTATCACATTATGAATAATCATAAATCAAACTAAGGCACAAAACACTATTTCTAATTTTGCTTTATAACATTATTTCTGTGTAAAGGCATCGTTAGGTACTAAGAGATTTGGGGGTTTCAGTATTGTATTGATCATGGTTTTCTATTCTGATTTTTCAAGACACCAGTTGGGGATTTGGGGTACAGGCCCTTTGTCCCCAGTGCCTAATGATGCCTCTGTTTCTATGCCTTTCTTTGATAGATTAGATCATAGAGAAGCTTATGTATTTACATATAATAGCCTTAAATGTTTATAATGTGTGTATATTTTGTAGGATTTGAATGTTTGTTGTTGTATATGTTCGTATAAGTAATACCATCAATAAGCTCGAAAAAGCAGGTGTAAGGTGAAAAGGTTAACTTCTGCCCCTTAAGTTAGGCATAAAGTTTTGTAGTGAAAATGATTATAGGTGAGCAGTTTGCGAGTCATATTTATAGCTATAATGATATTTACGTAACTAGTAAATATAATAATGTTGAGCTTAGATTCTGCTTTCCCATTAAGTCATCTGTAGAAACCAATTTTATACTGTGTTTTTTACTTAACTGATACTATGTAGGCAAAGAAACTAGAAGTAATATAATGTGTTTGTTCAGTTTGAGAAAATAGGTACTTCTTTACAAGCTAATTACTGCATAATGCGTACAGTAATATCTTACAGTATTTAACTCATAACAAAGTTGGCATAAAGTAATATCTTACAGTATTGAACTCATAACAAAGTTGGCATAAAGTAATATCTTACAGTATTGAACTCATAACAAAGTTGGCATAAAGTAATATCTTACAGTATTGAACTCATAACAAAGTTGGCATAAAGTAATATCTTACAGTATTGAACTCATAACAAAGTTGGCATAAAGTAATATCTTACAGTATTGAACTCATAACAAAGTTGGCATAAAGTAATATTTTACTGTATTGAACTCATAACAAAGTTGGCATAATTGATGCATATTAAGAAATATGGTTTATGGTTGCAGAATTTTGGAGTAAGTCAAGTAGAACCTAAAAACTTTTAAGTATTTATTTTGACATTTGAATACTTTATACTAAAATTTATTGTTTATAATTTATTTGATTGATAGAAACTTTTTTTTGTACTGAAATCAATGTGTCAAAAAGCAAAGCTACAGATCTTGAAATAACAAAATCTGTTTTGTGTTTTAACAGGTATTGCATTTTTGTACCTTCATTTGATGAATTCCGTTCATGATACTGGACAAAGTAAAGACTATATGAAAAAGGCAATTTGGTTCATTGAAAAGCCGCTGGCTAGTCTCAAGGGGCGACGCTTGTCATTCATGTGTGGTGATCTTGGTCCCCTGGCTTTAGGAGCTGTGCTATACAAACGAGTTGGAATGGATAGAGAATCGAAAGATCTTATAAAACGGTTTGCTGAAAAATAAGTCCATCAATAATTATACAGAGTTGTTTAATTTTTTCTCTGTCTTTTTCGTAGTGTGTTGTGAAGAAGGTTTGCTGAAAAATAAGTCCATCAATAATTATACAGAGTTGTTTAATTTTTTCTCTGTCTTTTTCGTTAGTGTGTTGTGAAGAAGGAGGAAATACAATGTCCTATACAATTCTTCTTCAGTTTTGTGTAATAGAAAAAAAATCCTACTTCTTTGGGTTAGGTAAATTTAGGCTAATGAAAGGATGGTATATTAAATATGTTTACCTTGTATATTTACTGTTTCATATTTTATTTTACAACATGTCCCAGCAAAGTGTTTTACATTACTGCCATAATTTACATTTCATGTGCTGTGTTAAAAAAATAAAAATACAGATATGGTAGAATGCATTGGTTGTGCCGTATTTTCCCTGCATGGGTAGAAATGGCTAGTAAGTGGAAATGGGTTAATGTGCTAATATTTGGTTGAGACGTAACATAATTTTGATAGCTAAGTACATAAATTAGTAGTAAGCATAATATCTAAAAAACTTACAAACAGTTTTGTTCTTTAACTAATTATTGAAATATTGATCACTTACTGGAAAGTAAATGGATACGTATGGTTAGAATGGGACATTCAAAAAATATTTTGATTTCATTTTATCAGCAGACATCTGGATTTAGGCTAAAAAGAAACATGAGACCCAGTCTATTCTTTGATTTTCCACATGCTTTGTTGGTTTCAGGGAATTTTACTTATCATTAGTAAGTATATCTCTTCGGAATAGAGCCAACCAAAGTACTGTACACATACATGGCCTCTTGTAGTAGTGAACCGAAGACTGTGTATAATTTTTGAAATGTCCTTTTCTATCTTAAGGTCTTCTTTCTGTATTTTCTGTTTGCTGATTTTATTGCCATGGGACTTTTCTTCTATCCAGGTTTTGTGTGAGGCGTCGGTTTATTATCCTGACTTTTTTTTGCCTTAACAGAAAGACTGCTTCCTAGCTTCTCCACTTAGATCAACGACCGTCTGCACAGTAGTACTGTTGAAATACGAGTTCTTGTTGTTTTGTAATCACACTGATAGTATTCTAAGACCTGTTACTTAAAGAGGTATTCTCCTGATCCCATTAAAATGATTAATCGCACCAGATAACATACAGAAAGTGACAAGAGATTAATTTAGTTCGACAGATGAAGTCAAGTATGAACCTCATTTACACATAGAAATGACTATCTATTTGAAAATTATTTTAACATTAAAAATATCAAAGCTTGGTTAATAAGATAGAAAAACATTATTGATAACGGAATGATTACATTAAATGATCACCCATTTGAAAAGTACAAATAAATTCTGTCAACACTTTCCCATGAGAAGCAAGTTAATAAACATGAAAATAAACAGTGTAAAATCTTTCTTTGACTTATAATGTTAATCAGAAAGCACATTTAACCCACTTTCCCAAATCAGAAGAATTATCCTCTATGCCGCACGTTTGTAGAATAAAATATTGATAGCGGTAATTGTTGATAGATATCAGAAAATACATTACTTGGTGACGTAGTCTTACAATCAACAATAGTGAGGATTGTTCTTTGTGAATACATTCAAGATATTGAGTACATTTATGTGTGTTACCATACAATATATTATTTTCCTTTTTTTTTATTCATTCTTTATATTCTTTATACATTTTTAGAGTGTAAAAGCTACATAAAGATGTCTTACAATCAACAATAGATAGGATTGTTCTTTGTGAATACATTCAAGATCTTGAGTACATTTATGTGTGTTACCATACAATATATTATTTTCCTTTTTTTTATTCATTCTTTATATTGTTTATACATTTTTAGAGTGGAGAAGCTACATAAAGATGTCATACCACTAGACAACGACCTTCCCGATGAATTTCTCTTTGGGCGAGTAGGGTATCTCTTTTCTCTTCTCTTTATAAAGAAGCACTTAGGGGAGGATGCAATTGACACTGCTATTGTTAAAAAGGTTAGAATTTAATGGGGGGATGTTTACTGGATTCTTTTCTTTAACCTCATTAATCATTTTATCAATTTTGTCTTCTTGTAAAAAGAGCGAAAAGGTAGTAAATTAATAACTTAGATTGCATAAACTTTGAGTTTATTGGAAATAATATTCAATAAGTAAGGATTTGAGCCATCAGAATATTTTCCTTCATCTATCATAGTTGCTAAACCTTACCTGATTTTTTGTTATAAAAGATAAGTGCTTTAGCTTTCAAACAGATTTAATTTAATAAGGAGCATTTTGGAAATGAAAATAACATTTAAAGAACTGTAAAAAAAAAAATCCCAGACCTGTGTTTTTTTCTTAAATTGTATGATAATTACTGGAATGAAAGAAGCCAGGTCAACCTAATGAAATGTAGTTTATTTGTATAGTTCTTACTTCCGTTAAACTCTATAAAGTTGTTAATTTAATATTTTCTTCGCTTATCTCACTATATTTACTACTGTATCATAGCATGGTCTTTGATAGTAATTCATTCAAGTTTTGTATGATGTTTGAAACACAACTTTGTTCCTGGACACTAGTAATCCACATATATTTTGATATTTGCTTTGTAGTTTGCTAATGTTTGTTTTGTTTTTATAACTTACTGGATGATAATGTGCCCTTGCATATTATCGTAAACATAATTTTAGATGGTTAAAAACATAAGATGATAGTATACTCTTAAATTTCACTTCTTGTCATAATATAGAGAACTTTACACTATTTCCTCTGTGCTGTCATTTGGGAGCTTCATGTCATATTCAGGTTGATGTTACAGTTTGAAGGATGACTACGTCACCACTGGAGAGAAAAGATTTCTGTATTAAGTTCCATGTGAGATGTAACATGGTGGTTTTCATCGGCTGCTTCTGATCACTATTGTTTTCCATTAGTTTAAATTCCAACTGTATTAATTGTCCTGAAACTAATCAAATTGTGTTTTTCGATTATCACTATTTTTAATTATTCCAACTATCCAAGTAACTGAAATATTACCACCAAACGTGCTTTTCCTATCTTTGTTATGGTAAAGATACTGAGGCTATTTACTACTATCTAATGTTTAACTGTTATGGAGGCAACTGCCATCTACCTTTTTTATGTATCTATTTTTTGCTTGTATATACCATGGCAGGGGGAATACTGTACTAATCAATTGTAATAGATTAATGGGGGCTGTCAATTAATTGATTAGCAAATATCACTAACTGCCCAGCTCTAGTGATGATAGTTTTGTAATATAGTGAAATTACTCTTTCTTCTGGACACGATGTTTTACCAGTTTGGGAACATCCTTTTCCATTGAGGGAATCTTTTTTGCTTTGTCTCAGGTGGTTGCGTCGGTGGTAAAGTCTGGCCGACACTTAGCACAGAAAGAGAACAGAAACTCCATACTTATGTACATGTGGCACGAGAAACACTACCTGGGAGCTGCTCATGGTCTGTCTGGAATATTATACATGTTGCTTCAGGTAATAGTTATGTGCTTTAGAAAGGAGTTGTAAGTGTCACAAATTTACTAACTTGCCAAACTCAGCTTATTGTTTGTTTCAGGTGTTTCTCTTATTTGATAATGATTGGTTAATATTTGCAATGCATCTCCAGTAAATTTATTAAGCATATATGTTGGTAAGCAATGAAGTAATATTGTAATGAATTATGGGATACCTTCACAAAAAATGTTTTTGTAAAATGTTGAGGAAAGTTTTAAAAATGAGGTGAAAAGGTTTGAATGAAAGTTGCGTGAATTTAAATGTCCAAAAAATTATCAATTAAAGGTGGAGATTTTCAATATTATTAGTTTAAGAAATTGTGAAAAATATTTTCAGGCAGAATGTGTAGGATTTAATTTGAATGTTTCAGGCACAGGAATACCTCTCTGCTGGAGATTTGAAAGACTTGATTAAACCAAGTGTTGACTACATTATGGCCTTGAAATTTGACTCTGGAAACTTCCCTTCTTCCCTCAGTAATTCAACTGATAGGCTAGTTCACTGGTGTCATGGGGCCCCAGGAGTCATTCACTTAGCAGCTGTGGCATACAAGGTTTGACTTGCGTGATCTTGTTTTCACTCTTTTATTACTTAAATACAACTGATTTATTTTTGAAATCGGGGGAAATTATGGAATGAATTTCTATTTTAATTCTGATGTAGTTTCGTGTAATATGGTGTGTTGCAACATGAACTATTTTAAAAATACATTAATCACCTTAGTAAAGAAAAGAAAATAGAGCAATTTCAAGTCTTATATTTTCAAGAAAAGCAGAATCGTATCGTACAAGTCCATTTTCAGAGTAGCGATTATGAGACTGTGTTGATTTTTTGAAAGATACTCATCTTCAGCTTTAATATCAATAATAAAACTGTCTACTGTAATAGCAACTTTATATTCTTTAGTATATGTTGAGTACTAGAACCATTAATCTGTCCAAAATATTCCTTTGTGTCATTGTTTAATGACAAATGACCATTTGTTTTTGGGGAACTACATTCTTGAATTGAAATAAATTTCTTATTATAAAAATTTGTTTTGAAATGCACAAAAGTTGTTAGTTTTCTGTTGTTCTGGGTAAAGTTTAACTTGGTGGTAAATTGGGATTTTGAAAGAGGTGGAACTCCCGTTTGTGATCCACTTTGACATTCCAATTAGAAGATCAGTGAGGATGATGGTTTAACTCTTCAAAAGGGAGAACTCCATTTCGAACTTTTCTGCCTCAGTTTAACCCCTTTGAAAACTATACAACCATTTTTTTTTCTATGGGGGGGGGGAATAATCATTAGAATTTTAAACTTTTGTTTCAATAACCTATTTAAACAGGTGTTTGGAGATGAGAAATACTTGCAAGCTGCCCGCGAATGCGGAGAGGTTATCTGGAAACGAGGTCTGCTACAGAAAGGTTACGGAATCTGTCATGGGGTATCTGGAAATGCTTATGCCTTTTTATTATTATTCCAGTTGACTCATGAAGAAAAATATGCTTACAGAGCTGTTAAGGTACAATATAACTATTTTTTGTCAGTCTTCTGCATGAAAGACTTGGTTCATATACAAAACCAGAAAAGATAATATTTAGATATGTTGCAGTAGATCTAATCATAGTAGTATTCTTCTGTTTAACAAAATAATTTTTTGACAAGCAGTGAATGCAAATATTCCTAAATTTTATCTTTAAAATTGTAAACAATAGACATTTTCTGAATTGCTTGTGAAATATGTGAATTCTCCATACTTGTTCGTTTCTCCGTGTTTAGTTTGCTGAATGGTGCTACGATTATGGAAAACACGGTTGTCGGACACCAGACAGGCCGTTGTCACTCTTTGAAGGTTTGTGTTTATTAACTGAAATAACTTTGAAAGCTGTTTATAATAGCACTTACTTCACGGCAAAATCTTAGAAAAATATCCTGAATTTACATTATGTGAAATTTCAAAGTTTTGTTACAAGATTTATCTGTTGAACATAATTAGATTAACGTATGCTATCCAAACTTGTGTTGCAGAACAAATGTGAAAAATGCATTTTTAACAATGTTCATGAGAAACTTTAAATCATTCTAAATCTCTCAGGTACATAATTAATATTACTTTCCAGGTCTGAGGTGATGCTTAGTTATATAATCATTATTACTTTCCAGGTCTGAGATGATATCCAGTTATCTATTCAGTATTGCTTTCCAGGTCTGAGGTGATATCCAGTTATCTAATCATTATTGCTTCCCTGGTCTGAGGTGATACCCAGTTATCTAATCAGTATTGCTTTCCAGGTCTGAGGTGATACCCAGTTATCTAATCATTATTGCTTTCCAGGTCTGAGGTGATATCCAGTTATCTAATCATTATTGCTTCCCTGGTCTGAGATGATATCCAGTTATCTATTCAGTATTGCTTTCCAGGTCTGAGGTGATACCCAGTTATCTATTCAGTATTGCTTTCCAGGTATGAGGTGATACCCAGTTATCTATTCAGTATTGCTTTCCAGGTCTGAGGTGATACCCAGTTATCTATTCATTATTGCTTTCCAGGTCTGAGGTGATACCCAGTTATCTATTCAGTATTGCTTTCCTGGTCTGAGGTGATACCCAGTTATCTAATCAGTATTACTATCCTGATCTGAGATGATACCCAGTTATCTAATCATATTGCTTTCCAGGTCTGAGGTGATACCCAGTTATCTATTCAGTATTGCTTTCCTGGTCTGAGGTGATACCCAGTTATCTAATCAGTATTACTATCCTGATCTGAGGTGATACCCAGTTATTTAATCATTATTACTTTCCAGGTCTGAGGTGATACCCAGTTATCTATTCAGTATTGCTTTCCTGGTCTGAGGTGATACCCAGTTATCTAATCATTATTACTTTCCAGGTCTGAGGTGATACCCAGTTATCTAATCAGTATTGCTTTCCAGGTCTGAGGTGATACCTAGTTATCTAATCATTATTGCTTTCCAGGTCTGAAGTGATACCCAGTTATCTGAATCATTATTACTTTCCTGGTCTGAAGTGATACCCAGTTATCTGATCATTATTACTTTCCTGGTCTGAAGTGATACCCAGTTAGCTGATCATTATTACTTTCCTGGTCCAAGTTGATACCCAGTTATCTGATCATTATTGCTTTCCAAAGCAATACTGAATAGATAACTGGGTATCATCTCAGACCACTAGGTCTGAGGTGATACCCAGTTATCTAATCATTATTGCTTTCCTGGTCCAAGTTGATACCTAGTTATCTAATCAGTATTGCTTTCCTGGTCTGAGATGATATCCAGTTATTTATTCAGTATTGCTGTCCAGGTCTGAGATGATACCCAGTTATCTAATCATTATTGCTTTCCTGGTCTGAGGTGATACCCAGTTATCTATTCAGTATTGCTTTCCAGGTCTGAAGTGATGCTTAGTTATCTGGTCAATATTGCATTCAAAGTCTGAGATATCTAGTCAGTTCAAATGTTTCTTGAGTGCCCAATATCTTTGACCATCAACAAACTAGAACATAATTAAATCATAGTAAGGTGCTTAAAACTTGTGAAGCAGTTCGAATGCAATATCTAATAAAGATTGAGCATTTGGATCTAGTTTTAATATTTAGTCAACATATATTGACTGAGAGATGGAAGTGATCTTAAAGTAGTTTTTTAGAACTATTTTATTGCTCAGCATAGAAATGAGAACGGCAAGAAATCAAATTTTAAAATTATTGTAATGTTATCTAAAACAGTGTTTTTCAACCAATAAATCAAATATTGTAAAAAATTCATTTTCTACATCTGTTAAGGACAGGTAAAAAGTGTTGTGTCCTTCTTAGTTCATTGTAAAATAAATGAGTCTCATATATTTTACTCCAAAGATTCTTGAAGAAGCTGTATCAGGAAACAGCACTTTTACTGTTTTTTAGCCTTCTAGTACAAGATACCCTTTTATTTCAATTCATGCAGCCAGGCACAGTTGTGCTGATAAATAAAACGTATGTAGAAGTCTTTTTCCATAGGTATATGGTATAGTAGGCCTATACATACTTCTAATGGTCCATAAGCATTTAACAAAGATTTTGTCAGTTTGGAGTAAAAAAAAAAAAAGGTTGGGAACCACTAATCTAAAAGATTTTGTTGGAAGACAAAATTGAATTTGAAAGAGAACAAATCAGGTTTTGTAAATGGAATAAAAATGTAACTTACATTACTTATTTACTCTTTGTCGTACAGATCATAAATAAAGAGTTTCAGAGTAGTGATAAAAATGTGTTGATTCCTACTAAAGAGCCATTCCAATAATGACCACTGTTTGTGTATGTAAAGATTTTATGAATTTTTAATCTTAGCTCATGATTTTAATGAAACATTTGCTATGAAAATATTTATTTTCATAGTCTGATGAGACTAATAATTATTGTTTTTCCAGGGTTAGCAGGAACAGTATATTTTTTGAATGACCTTCTTCACCCAGAACAAGCAGCATTTCCAGCATTTCAACTCTTTTGAACTGTGAAACAGTTGCTTTTTTTGCTCTGTGTAAAGATATGCTATTGAGTATTGTTGAATATAACCATCTAAATCATCTTGTTTTTCGGTATGAAGTATATTATTGCAGATTCGACTCTTAGAAATTCGATCTGGAATTTACGTTTCATGACTAATAAATAACTAATACTTTTTTCCATTTCCATGAAAATGCTGTGTTTTATACTGTTATTTTTGAATGTATTTGTATAAATTAAAGATGTTTTTTCCCCACTTCACTATCTTTATCTTTAACATATACATGTTCATTGTATCTCAACTTATTTTAATTATTTTATGTTACTTAGTCACACTAATCGCATATTTTAATGAACTTTTTTTTTCCATATATGATTCATGGTAATGCATACTTGTGGATAATTTTTTGATACATAACAATATTCTTATTGTGCTGACTAGAGAAGCTTGAAGATATATTCTGAATCTTATTAATAAAACGAAGTGTTGACACTGTTAAATTTAACATCTAGAAACATAAGTGCACATAGTACTGACCTTTCTTCTTTAATCATCAGTTTTTCCATGAACTTGTAAACACATAAATTAATACATAATTTGCACAAACAATCTACTTAAATTATTTTAAGATATTACATGTACGTTTGTTTTTGAATTTTGCGCCGTCCCTAACTTAGCAGTAAAAGACCAGAGGGAAAGGCAGCTAGTCATCACCACCAACTCTTGGGCTACTCTTTTACCAACAAATGGTGGGATTGACCATAATGTTGTAACGCCCCAACGGCTGATAGGGCGAGAATGTTTGGTGGGACAGGAATTCGAACCCGCGACCCTCCGATTGCAAGTCGAGCGCCCTAGCCAGATATTATTCGTAAGCTGGTAAACAACATTGGAGACAAGACACTCATCTTTGGATTGCAAACATTATTTGCAATTATTTCATTGTACAGAGATTTTGAAAGTTGGATTTTTAGGGTTGGAACTGGCCGTTCAATAACTTTAATCAGTAGTTCAGATTTCCTTATTATAGTGTTACGTCTCTGTTCGTTTGTTAATTTTCTGTAAAAATTCTTTCCGAAGAAACTTTAGCGATACAAGTCCTTACTTAAATAAAACTAGTTTATTCTTTTTCAATACAACTTTGAAATTCACTTAATTTCCACGGTCACGTTATTACTTAAACGCTATAATTCACAACAACGATTCACGTGCTTGACTCAATTGTCCGTCTCTATCTCTGTCTGCAATTCAATTCCGTTGTTGCCGTCACTTCTTGGCGGTCTTATATACAAGAATACCGCACATCTAGTAAACACTGGAGGCTTCACGAACGGACATGAATTTTCTAGAAGCTCATGACGTGTAACTAGCGTCACATGACTTCCGCTGTCGTAAGAATAGTTTCATTTTTTTTGGAGTTAGCTTCTTCAATTAGAGGTGTTATAAAAAATAACCTTTTTTGTGTTAAACTTGGAAATTTTTTTCCTCCTTGTTTATCTGTGTTTTCTCATGTTGGAAGTGCGATGCTGATTTTTGCGCGTCATAGTTCTTGAAAATTTGTTCGATGCAAAAAGGTGAATATTCGTTGTTCAGATGAAGTGATTTTAGTTTGGAGCGTGTATTAGAAGTTATTATTTAAACCATTTGAAGCTTTGTATTGTCAATCTAGGTTTGGGTTTTAGTGAACGCTCCTGAAAAAGCTATAAAGCGAAACGTTGAGTGTCTAATTAAAAAAAACATTTTGTTGTTATAAGGCCGTTTATTTCTAGTACTAATATGTCTTCTATACACCAATATGCACTACTGAATTAAATAATCACTTACACTGCTTATACTCAGTGTCGCCACTGAATTGTTAGACAATTACTAGAACAGTGTGGAACTAAACATATAGTCTAGTATATTTCTTTTCACAAATAATTATTAAGACTTTTGATTCGCTAATATAATATTTATTACAAAATGTGTTAATTTGTTATGCTGAACTTTGCTAAGAAATGATAAGATTTAATATGTATTAAAGTAATATTTACAATATTTTAATTCAAGTGTTCCTTTCTACGTACCTTTGTACATATGTATTGTTCTAACCTATTTTATGATGTGTGGGTTCTTTTGGACTAGCTGACACTCTTAAAGGATTTGCGGTCAAGTTAGTATCTTTACTGTACAAGTATTTAAATACGGGATTTCTAGGACAGTACAAAATAATTCTAATCGCAGACTGAAATATGTCCATTTGTCTTAGGCCTACCATTAGTTAAGCCTTTATCTGATATATAAATTAACACTGATTTACATATGTTTTTTACTTTACTTTGGGCCAAATTTACCTAACTTAATACTATAAATAAATAAATTTATAATGTTATTCTTCAACCTAGCGTTAGACCTTTTATTTTTTCTATAAGCTTTTAATATGTTGTTGTACAAAATGTCTAATAATATATATATATATA